GTTTTCTGTTTCTGTTGAGTCCTTTCCTGGTTTTGGCATCAGGGGGATGGTGGTTTTGTAAAACATCTGGGGAGAATTCCTTCTTTCTCAATGTTGCAAAATAATTTCTGCAGGATAGGAGATGTTCTTCTTTGTAGGCTTGGTTATATTCAGGCGTGAAACCACCTGGTCTGACACTTTTTTTTAAAGAAAGGTTTATGATTGCTGCTTCAATTTTGATACTTGATATTGTTCTGTTCAGAAACTCTGTTTCTTCCTGACTGAGCCTAGGAAGGCTGTGTGTTTCTTAGAATTTGTCCATTTCTTGCACATTTTCAAGTTTATGTACGTAGAGATTTTTATAGTATTCATAGATAATATTTTGTATTTCCCTGGTATCAGTTGTACCTCTTTTTTCATTCCTGCTTGAGCTTATTAGAGTCCTCTCTTTTCTGCTTCTTGTTAATCTAGTGAGAGGCTGTGAATTTTTAAAAAATATTTTCAGAGAACCAACTTTTTGTTTTATTAATCTTCTATATAAGTTTTTTCATCATTGATTTGATTTAGTTCTGCTTTGATCTTGGATATTTCTTTTCTTCTGCTGGTTTTGGGATTTGTTTGCTCATCCTTTTCCAGTTCTTTGAGATGATTCATCAGATTGTTGATCTGTGATCTTTCTGTCTTTTGGATGTAGGTATTTATGAGTATAAGTTTTCCCCTCATGACTGCTTTAGCTGTGTCTGACAGATTTTGATAACTTGTGTCCCCTTTTTCATTTAATTCAAAGAATGTTTTGGTTTATCTCTTAATTTCTTGCTTAACCCTATAATCCTTCAGCAGTAGGTTGTTTCATTTCCATGACTTTGTGTAGAGATCAGAGTTTCTTTTCGAGTTGATTTCTAAATTTATTCCACTGTGGTCTAAGAAGATGCATGGTATAATTTCTGTTTTTTTAAATTTGTTGAGACACACTTCATGGCCTAGGATATGGTCAGTCTTAGAGAATGTCCCATGAACTGATGAGAAAAACATATATTCAGTGGTTACTGTGTAGAATGTTCTGTAACTGTCAGGCCCATTTGTTCTAGAGTTCTGTTTAAGTCCATTGTTTCTTTATTTTCTGTTTGGAGGATCAGTCTTGTTCTGTCAGAGGTGTGTTGAAGGTTCCAGCTATTACGGTGTTGCTGTTTATCCTTTTGTTTAGATCAAGTAGGATGTGGTTTATGAATTTGGGTGCACCTGAGTTAGGTCCATAAATATTTAGAGTTGTTATGTCTTCTTATAGAATTGTACCCTTCACCATTATATAGTGACCATCTTTGTCTTTCAGTACTTTTGTTGAAGACTAAATTATCTGAAATCAGAACTGCTGTGACATCTTTCATTTGGCTTCCATTTACATGGAATATTGTTTTACATCCCTTCATCTCAAGTCTGAATGCATCCTTGTGGGTTAGATATGTTTCCTGAAGACAGCAGATACTTGGCTTGTGTATATTTATCCATTCAGCCAGCCTATGTCTCTTTAGTGGGAAGTTCAAGCCATTCACATTTATTGAAAGAATTGATAAGTGGGGCAGATTTCTGTTCATCTTGTTGCGTTGAACTTTGTTACTTTGTTTTCTCTCTTGAGCCCTTGTGGTACCTGGCCTTTGACCTTTACCTTTTGGATGAGTTGACATTGGTGAGTGTTTATTGTGCTGATCCGTGTGTAATGCTGTTGTTCTGAGTACTTCCTGGAGGGCAGGTCTTGTCTTGAAGAATTTCCTCAGTCTTTGCTTGTCTGAGAAGGTCTTTATTTCTCCTTCATATAAGAAACTTAGTTTTTTAGAATACAAGATTCTAGGCTGGGCATTATTCTGTTTGAGAAGAGTGAGAATAGGGTCCCAGTGTCTTCAGGCTTGTAAGATCTCAGTTGAGAAGTCTGTAGTTAGTCCGATGGGTTTTCTTTTGTAGGTTACCTGCTTCTTTCACCTTATAGCTCAAAGGAGAGCCTCTTTTGTTTTCATTTTGGCCAGTCTGATGACTATGTGTTGTGATGTCTTCCTGTTTGCAACAAATCGCTAAGGAGTCATTTGACTTTCTGTTATCTGGATAGCTAGATTTTTAGCAAGGCCAGGGAAATTTTCCTCCATTATATCCTCAAAGAGTTTATCCAATGCTTATGTATTTTCTTCTTCACCCTCAGGGATGTCTATAATCCTCATGTTAGGCCTCTTCATATCATTCCACATTTCTTGTAGGCTTTGCCCTTTTATTTCTCTGCTGTATCTCTCTGACTGACTTGTTTAACTGAAAGGTAATATCTTCAATTGTTTCGTCTATTGATCTATCCTATTCTTGAGGCTTTCCACTGTGTTTTGTAATTCCTTGAACAAATTCTTCATTTCCAGAAGTTCTGTTTGATTTATCTTTAATAATTCGATTTTTGTAGTCAATTTTTCTTTCAAGTCCTCTTGGCATTTAGACCCTGCCAGTGCCTTTCTCCTTCCTGTTCTGCTTCACAACCCATTCCTGTGGAATCTTCTGTAGGTTCAGGCATCCTTCCCTCTGACCGTCATCTGATCTCTTTGTCTGCCTGTTTGTTTTTTCACTTTCATCTAAAATCTTTCCTTCTTACAGACATGCTCTGGCTGGAGATGTTTCTCATCCCCCGTCTTGCTTCTCACTCTGGCCTCTAAGGTTTTTGATGACAAATCTGAACATGATGGTGTGGGGAAATTACTATGACAGTTATCTTCTTGGCAGCTCTATAGAAGTTAGTTATGGACCTTATTGTGTATCACACACCACAGCACACATTTTTATACTATCACGATGTCAGGCATGCTGTAGCATCACTCTGACACCAATCAGATTTTAAAGAAAAGGAAATAGAATACTTCACGTATAGACATTATGAGGTCTTTAAAAGCCTAAAATTATTAAAGATTTTCAAACTATAAGGAAGGCCTTGCTGAAATAACAGGAAAATCTCTAATCCCTAAATTCTCTAATGACAGTTAAAGATCAATCCTATGAATTCTCTGCTGGCAGGCAACCTGCTGGGACTCTGTTCTCACAGATAACACAAAAGAGCCAAAAATAAGAAAAAGGATGTACATATTTCTCTCTATATCCACCAGCTCACAGCCTTTAGAATTTGTTTCTAGAGCCTGAAGGTGTTTCCTGAGAAGCTCCCAGTCCAGACAACAGGGGGATAAACTCCAGGCCTTCATTTCCTGCCCCAAACCACATCTCAGAGGCAAAAATCACATCCCCTGTGATAGGCCTGACTACATTTCAGAGATACCCAAGTCTCCAGGAAGAGAAGAAAGAAAAAAGGCGCACAACTTGATGTGTTTCAACTGCCTGCTAATTGCTCCACAACAATGGCTATTTTCCTCTTTGTCCCCATCAAAGCAGCAAGCCACTTGGCTTTGCTGCTGACAGCTCTTTTTCCCTTTCTTTGGGATGCCGCCTCATCTCCCTGCTCACTTCACCTCCCTTTCTTTCTCTAGTGCTCATTCTCTCTGTCACTCTCTCTGTCCTTATCAATGGGAAAATAAACTTTTTAAAACTTTTATATCTTAATTGCTGCATGAGAAACCTTTCTCCACCTATGCCGTGAGCACCTGCTAGACTTTCCACAGTAACATTTGGTGGCCCACCCGGGGACTTTTCTCTTTCTCTGCCTCTGCACGGTGACAAAGGAAAATCTCTTCTCTGCCTCCGCATGGGGACTTTTCTCTGCCTCCATGTGGGGAGAAGTCAATTTTCTCCCCCGTGAGGAGACTGTGTCATTGTCTTATTTTTCTGCCTCTGGATGGAGAGCTGCTGCATCCCTCTCAGTGCCCTCAAATTGTTTGGGACTCGGTGAGTCACTGGGTCTCTGGAAACTTTGGGAATGGTCATAGGCACAGCGTGGAGAGTGGCAGCTTGTCAGTTTGGTTTCCTTAGTCCAGGAAAAACCCAGCATGGAGGGGTGCTGCCTAACCACTATGGTCACAATCTGAGTCATAGTTCGGGATGCCTGTTCTCTGGCCCAGATCACTAGGTTTTGGTCTGACTTTAGATTTTCAGGGACACCAGATGTCTGATCAGTCCTTCAGTGGTCATCTGAGTTGGAGTTGCTCTCTCAGACTTCTGGAACCTACGACCATCCCTCAAAATGTCCGTCATGGCAATGTTCAGTTGAAACTTTGGGACTCATCGACCCCCATCGCAAATGTTCAGTAAATTAAAGGACCAGGAAATTTGGCCCAAGAATGAATCTCTGCCTGATGGCCAGCGAAGAGCCTAACGTCCTCTACTTTCAAACTTTCTAGACATCCTGGTCTTCACTCTGCCTGCCTCATGTCACTTCTGACCCCTGCATCTCTCTCGCTGCCTCATTGTCTGGATGATATTTCTCTTTTGGATCCCTTGTTCCTCCTGCTTCCTCTCCATCTCCGTTTCCCTCACCTGAGCAGCCCTTCCAGAGCTCCCTGCCCGCCTGCACCCCAGCTCCCTTTCTGGGAGGCTGCAGGGTAGGAAGGCCTTGCAAATCAGGTACCCACATGGATGAAGCCAGGAGGAAACGCCACCCCTTTCCTGTCGGAAGTCATTCTCCTCTCTACTAGTCTGCATCCTGACGCCAGGGAAGAACACTGCCTCTTAGCAATGGACTTCACCTGCCAGGCAGCCCCACCGTTTGGCACAAACTCCATGACTTGAGAAGGGGCCTCAGTCTCCACAAGCGGAACTTTAAACCTGGCCTTCAAGGTCTTTGATAACAGCCATGGGGAGAGGTGAGAGGAAACAGAGTGGGACTGACAGCAGCCCCGAAAGCAGAAAAAGCTTTTCAAATCATGGCTGCCACTGTGAAAGGGTTTTCACCAGAGCCAGAGTTACTGAAAAAAAGGTCCTGGGCAAGAAGAGGACAAGACCACACCCTGCCACAGGAACTGAGCCCGGCCTTCACGACAACTCTGGCTCCCCTCCCCCTCCCCATCCCCCCTCCCCCTCCCATATCCCCTCCTCCCTTCCTCCCTCCCCTCCCCCTTGGTTATTCTGACATCAGAAACAGCCATTGTTATAGAATTACTGAAACCTAGGCTGAGCGTAGGTGTCAGTAATACCATAACCAGTGCTTATTGACCAGGAAGGTGCTGGGGAACTGGTAGTCTGACCGTAGCAACACTGTTTCATCATTGTTAGTTGGCAGTGCTCTTGTAGTCAGTACAGTTAGTGTCGTTGGTTGGTGGTGCTGGCCTAGGACAGTCAGTGCTGCCTGTCAGTGGTGTCAGCCTAGCAGCGTCAGTGCGGTGTGCTAGCAGTGCTAGCACAGCAGCCGACTGTCTGTCAGTAGCGACAGCACAGTGTAGTCAGTGCTGTTAGGACAGTTAGTATTGTTGGTACCGTCAGCCTGGTTCATGGAGCTGGTGTCGTGGCACCGTTAGTGTCCCCAGCCCAGGGCGTGTAGCGGGCAGTGCTCACTAGGTGCCAGCACAGCTAGCGTGGCGTTCGTGCAGACGGACACGACCACGCGGCAGAGTGTCCCCTGCAGTGTGTCCATTGAGGCGCTGAACAATGACAAGCTCCTGAGGAAAGTGGCTGGTGAGCCATCACCAAGGTGATGCTGGCCTGTCACCTTGCTGCTGGGACAGAGCCCAGTAGTGTTCAGGCAGAGCCTGTATAGCCTGGAAAGTGTCTGTATGGATTTCAAATCCGGGTCCCTCTAAACATCCTGAAGTGGTTGGTGTCACCGAGACTGAAGACACCCTGTGTGTACTCACAAAATATGCCAGTGGTGGAGCCCTTTTCCAGAATGCACGGAGACACGGCCACCTGGAGGAGGAGGAAAAGGAGGAGGAGGAGGAGGAGGAGGAGGAGGAGGAGGAGGAGGAGGAGGAGGAGGAGGAGGCGGCGGCGGCACGAGCCCAATTCCAACAGATCCCTGCTGCGTGCAGTTTTGCCACGAGAGTCAGGTTATATCCTACAGTCCCCAAACATCCTCCTCGATGACAGTGACAACATCGATGTGGACGACTTTGGCTTTGCCACCCATTTAGCGCAGAGAAGCTGGACACCTTCTGTGGAACTCCTGTTGTTGTTTTTTTTGTGCCCGAGAAGTTGCTGAACGAGGACTCCGTGGGACCAGTGGTGGACGCGTGGCGCCAGGGGCTGTCCTCTACACCACGACGGCCGGGGACTCTGCCACTGCATGGTGAGAAACGGGGGGACCTTCAAGCAGCCTCACACACACAGTGTTGAGACACCTGTTTTCTTTTCAGAGGAACCGAAAACATTGCTGGAAAAGTTCCTGACCCTTGACCCCAGGGAGAGGCCCACGCTCCTTCAAATGACGAGGGGCATGTGGAGGAACGGGCAGGAGGTGCCAGAGGAGGGCAGGAACCCGCCGTGGCTGCCAGCCCTCTAGCAGGCCGCACCCGAGTCCCTGTCCCAGCAGCCCCTCCAGCCACAGCGCCAGCAGCCACAGCAGGGAGCCGGGACGAGGCACCTGTCCCCAGGAAACCTCCCGGGAAGCCACCTCCCGCTAGGCTGGGCGTCCTGAGGGGAAGACGTCAGCCTACCCTGTGAAGACGGCCAGGCCGCAGAAGCTCGCCAGGACGCTTGCCAGCTTCACTCCTTCCTGCCAGCCCCAAAGATCCGCTGCAGACGGGCAAACAAGGTGGTGGCGGCGGCGGCGAATGCTGAAGCACAGAGAGCAAGCGACGGGGACAGCTGTGGGTGGGGGTGGGAGCCGGGAGCTTGTGGCCTGCGGCCCTCAGAGGTGGCCGAGCCACGCCAGGCCGAGCCACGCCAGACCGAGCCACGCCAGACTGAGCCACACTATACTGAGCTGTGGCAGAGCCTGGAGCCTTGGAGACAAGAGGGCCCCTCTGCCCCCAGCGGGTCCCCTTGGTTCCCCATTTTCCTTATGCTTAACAGCCCAGTGAGCGGTCACCAGTGCTGCTGTCCTTAAAATCCATCCCTCCCCTTCCCCCTTCCCCTCCATTCCCTTCCCCCTTTACCATCCCCCTTCCCCACCCTTCCCTGCCCCCTGCACCCTTCCCTTTTCCCCCTTTCTCTTCCCCCCTCCCTTCCCTTCCTTTACCTCTTCCCTCCCCTTCCCTGGCTCTCACCCCTTCAGCAATGCCTTGTTTTTTGTTTTTATCAGAGATTACAGTGCCCACATGGGAGATTCAAATACATTTGAATTAGTTTGTGAAGTAACTTTATTTCCAGGGACCTATAGTTCTAATTCTCTGGAAGCCTTAAAAAAATGAAATACAAATGTGAAGGACAATCAAGTAATAAATAGTACTCTTGACAAAATGTGATATGATTTGTGTGCATATTAGCATAACAGTGCTGGTGATATGCTGAAGTTTCAGTTCTTCTGGCAGAAGCTCACCAGGAGACTGGCCAACCTCAGGCTGACGATAGGCCGCTTGCTGCCGGCCCAAACCTCCGCCTGAAACCGCAGACACGGTGGTGCCGGCACATGCCATGGACGGCAGCAGCAGAGAAACAAGTATGTGGGGCGGTCCGGCCACGCTTCCTGTACCTAATTTTATGGATTATAGCTTTATTCATATCACTCTTAATAGACAAGTCATAGCTGCAGACATGCATGTAGTACAACGTGAGTTTAGGTATATGTGCACCATGTGGAATGGTGACATGAAGCTAATTGACATATGCGTCACCTCAGAAAGCAAATGCAGCCTGATGTCACCTCCCTGTTGAACCTCCAAAGCTGACCTCATAGAAGCAGAGTAGTTTGATGGCGAGGAGAGGCTGGGGTGGCACAGAGAGGGCATGCAAAGTTGCTCACAGGGACAGAGTTTCAGACAGGCAGGAGGAAGAAGCCCTGACATCTCTTGCACAGCAGGGTGACAAGAGTCCATGAGACTGCCCCGCACACTTCAGAATACCTGAGAGGCTCCTCCTTCACATGTCTCCTTGCCTTTAGAACGGAGACCAAGAAGACCTTGATTCTGGCCAGGCCTGGACTCCCCACTGCAGGCTCTTAGATGGGGCGCCCCATGCCCTCCTGTTGCCCTGGGAGCCCTGGCTCTACCAGTCCGTCACCGGCTGTGTGTCCTCAGGTCAGTCCCCTCACCTCTCTGTGCCTCCTTCCCCTCATCTGCAAAATGGTGGCAGCAGTAGATCCAACAGTGCCTGGTACAGAGTATTTTCTCAATACACATGAGTTGTCACTAGTACTCCTCCCACCTAGGCAAACACCTCAGCAGTTATTGCTTCTTTCCAGATCTTTCCTGGTGGCCTCTTAAAATATACTCACAGATAAGCTTTCTGCATATAACAGTAATGTAGGCTTACCACGCAAAGCTTGAAGAGACATGGTACTGAGAGCGGATCCTTACCAAGTGCTGTCTACATAGATCCATCTCATAACAATCCCAGCAGTGAGGCGCAGTTGCTATTCCCACTTTAGAGTGGCGGCCAAGGCACAGAGAGCTTCAGTCATTTGCCTAAGAGAACACAGCTGGTGGACAGCAGAGCCAGGACTTGCACCAGATGGTCTGGTTTCAGAGTCTATGTCTTTCACCACTGTGCTACCTGCTCCCCAGGACACCCCAAGTCTCCAGGAACACCCCAAGTCCCCATCACACAATCGCTCACATTTCCCACTTCTGTGTCATCATTTTTCCATTGTGTATATAGACACACAATTTTTAGTTAACCGAAAGCATAGTTTTTTCCCCTGATTTGAATTAGGCATTTCCTGGACTAGCCTTCCTTTAATTAATTTGTTGAGTGGTTCCCTACAGCACCATTTGTGCCTTGGGAATCATCCAGGCAACTCCCACTCAGCATCCCGGTCACCCAGAGCTGCATTTTGGCTGGGAGGAGTAAGAGGCCCCTTGTCTTCAGAGCTGAGGAACTCAATCTCTCATTTATCTACGAACAAGACAGTCTCTCATTTATCTCCTCTTTTGCAAATGCACAGAGAAGCCAATTGAGATTAATTTGAGGATGAAAAAACAATGGAGATGGCCCTTTAGAATGTACCTCCAAATCTAAATTAGGGTCCCAAACAACAATTCCTAGGAAAAGAACCAGCTCAGAGTAAACCAAGACCATCAACCCAAACTGGGAGGTCCGGAGCTCAGGAGGACTTTCCAGTTCCGCCAAAGGAGAAGCTCAGAGTCGGGGGGCGGGGGGGAGCCCAAAAGGGTCATGCCAATACCTGGCGCTGAGTTCAGGCTACTCCTTCGGGGGTCCTGAGTCTTCTCTGAGCCCTTCTGAGCGTCAGTGTTGTTAACTGAAAAGAAGCCAAACTTTGTAAAATAATTTTAAAGAGGTTTATTCTGAGCCCAATTTGAGGACCATGACCTGGAGCCACGCCCAAGAAGCCTTAAGCAAGTGGACGTGCCGTGGTTGGGTTACAATTTGGTTTTTTCATTTCAGGAGGACAGGGGTTACAGATAAAGTCATAAATCAATATGTGGAAGGCATACATTCCTTTTGGCCCCAAAAGATGGGCCATTTCAACGGTGAGGGGCTTACAAGTGATAGGTGGGTTTAAAGACTCTTTGACTTGTTAAAGACATAAAACTTTTGTCTAAAGGCTTGGAATGTTAAGGTAAGTAAGCCTGTAAAATCAGAGACAAACCATTGCACATATATTTGTTGTGTAAACTGAGGTCCTCCAGGTTTGTTTCGCATAGCCTTAGGTCTGTTAATGAGTTGCAAAGGATGTCTCCAAGAAGAGAGGGGGGCATGATGAGGCATGTCTGACCTCCCTCCTCCTGGCAGGCAATTTAGTTTTAGGATATCCCCTTTGCCAAAAGGGGGTCCATTCAGTCAGCCGATGGGTGGAGGACCTTAAGATTATATTTTAGTTCACACTTCTGTCTCCCTGAAATGTATAAAACCAAACTGGAACCCAACCACAAGAAGTCCACTTGCTCAAGGCTTCTTGGATGTGGCTGCCAGTCCTAGTCCTCGTATTAGACTCAAAATAAACCTCTTTAAATTATTTTACAGAGTTTGGCTTCTTTTCTGGTAGCCAGAAAAGAAAACAAAGAATATTCGTTAATCATCCTTAAATATTTGAAGGGCCATCATGAGTAAAAGTGAAAGGAATTACTGTGTACATACATTCCCAGGAGGGAGGCCTAGAGACACTGGGTGGAACTTACAAGAGAGTCAGACAGAAGAATTTTCTAATGTTCAGAGCTTTCCACGAAGGCAGATGCAGCCTTAATAGGTAGTGGGTTGAGGCTAGAGGATCATCACTTGGTGAGTGTGTTTGTAGAAAATTCACTTATTGAACAGCAGGTTGAGTAAAATACCCTTACTTTAAGGTTACAGTGTAACACGGAGATGTTTTTAATCCAAAGATCATCCCATTTCCTTGTGCTAAGAAGTCTAACCCCAGTACATGTCAAGCAGAGGGAAACTACAAGATGAACACCAAAGTATAAACAGAATGTGATACAGAGCTCTAGAGGAGAAAGGAAAGGCAGACTAACAGGAGACTATAACCCAGCACAGCAGGAAAGAAACTGTAGAAACAATGAAGCATGAAGAGTAAACTTGGGACGAGGGAAGGGGCCCGTAGACCACAATGCCTATGTCAGAGGATAAAGGGGCTACCATATGTGTGTCAAGTGCCTGACAGAGCTATGGCATTTAGCACGCAGTCCACTGTAATTTCTTCTCTCTCCCCTTATGTTCAAATGCTACCCTTCAAAAGAATCCCTACCACTTCCGTAGGTTTCCACGGTGATTTCCCAAGCACTATCTTACTCAGGTAGGGCAGCTATTACTTCCTCTGTTTCAGAAATGGGAGACTAAGCCACCTGCTCATGTTCATAAGTAGAACTGAGACCCCGTCTGATTTCAAGGCGGTAAAGGGTCTGTCCTTCAGGGAGCTATTCCCATATAGAATAAAACTGCTAGGGGAAAAATTAAAATATAAAAGATAATCTCCTAGGGTGAAAATCAAGTTATTTAGAAATAAAATATTTCCAATTTCCCTATAAACACGTGGATTAGAGCAGAGAGTGGGAATTAAGACAATAGTTAAATTCTGACTTCATGGAAAAATTTACATGCCTATTGATTTTTTGCTATTATAACTGTTCGCACTGTATTTTATGTGTACTGTGAAGAAAGATGGATAAAGCCAGAACTCACCTACTGCAAATCAGTCGTGCATCTGTAAGCAAAATGAGCCAGATAAATATTTGGATGTCATGGGCCCTGTTTTGTTTTCATGTATTTTGATTTCTTTAAAGACATGGACCTGTTGAACCTAAGAATCTATAGAGCCCAATATCCAAAATCTAGAAAGTCACATTTTGTTTCAGTTGTTCTTTTAAAAAATACAAACACCATAAACCAGTGTGTAGTGACGCCAAAATCAATTGGACTAATCAATCAGACTAAGCCTTGAGGAAATTCTCATTTTGCCTTTTTGATAATCCTGTTTGGTAGGTTTCCCAATTTTAAGTAAAACACTATTACTCTTGAAAAAATGTTACAGTTTTCTATCACAATAGATTTTTCAACTGGAAATATAAGTAAATCTCATCATCCACTGTAGTTCTTTCTTATCTTACCCAAGGAAGCCCTTGTTGTCAAGTTCTACGTCATTATTTTGCACATACTTTTCTTCATGTATACAACCTCTAACTTAAAACCTGGGCCAAAACAATGGAAAAAGTTATCATTTGCAAAATTTAAGTTCTCTTCCTCCAAATCTTCCCTCTGCCCCTTTTGTAATCAGAAAAATCAACAGCAATGATGCAAAATCTCACAGAGATGACCTTCTGAACAAATCTGTTGTTACCCTAGACAAAACGGAATGCTCATACTACTTCTCACTGCATCAAATAGAATATACCCTTCAAAAGTGTTCAGTGAATTGAAGCCGTATAAGAGAAAGCAATAGACTAAAATGTAGTCAGTTCTCCTCTCACCTTTTGCTCCTGGTTGGCACAACAAGGATTCAGAACTAGAAAGTTCAGAATCCAGGATGGTGCAATTCAGTTTCCACCTTGTGTCTTCTGCTCTGGAAACTGCAGAAGGTCAACTAACAAGACAGGACAGGTTTGACGGATCCTTCAACATCCATCTGTTCTCAAGAAAGAACTGAAAGGCAGTAGAATACCAATCCGGAACGTTCTACCTCCTTAACAAAATGATCTACTGAGACCTTGAGGTGAAAAGGAGCCAGGAACACAGGTCAGCCAACCTAATGAGGAGCTCGCAAGTTCGGAAGAGCTCAGGAGGACGAGAGCTTCCAGAGAATTGGAACTAAGGATCCCTAGACGTGAAGTTACCTCACAGAATACTTCAAATGTACTGGAATCTCCCATATGTGGATCGTAATGTGTGATGACACAACACAAAAAACCAAAACAAAATAATAAATAAAAAAACCAAAACAGGCATTGCTGAGGGGGTGAGAGCCAGGGACGGATTTTAAGGACAGAGCACTGGGTGACAGCTCCCTGGGCTGTTAAGCATAAAGAAAATCCGCACTGGGGAACAAGGGGGACCGGTGGGGGCAGAGGGACCCCTTGTCCCGGGCTGCCGGGCGTGCGGCAGGTCACAATGCTGTGCCCTGAGGCCTCTGCAGGCCGCGGCTGCTTCTGGGCGGCGCCCACCCAGAGCTGGGCGCCCACTCAGAGCTGGGAGTCCATACCTGGCTGACCTCCCGCTCCGCGTTGTCAGGATCCGGGCAGCTCAGGGGCTTCTTGGTCTCCGTTCTAAAGGCAAAGCAACATGCGAGGGGACTCTCAGGTATTCTGAAATGTGCAGGACAGTCTCGTGGACTCTTGCACCCTGCTGTGCAACACACGTCAGGGCTCCTTGCTCCCGTCTGTCTGAAACTGTACCTGTGACCAACTACCCGTGCCCTCCCTCTGCCAGCCCAGCCTCTCTTCACCACCGCGCTGCTCTACTTCCACCAGGTCAGCTTGCAGGTTCAGCAAGTGACGTCACACTGTGTTTGCCTTTCTGAGGTGACGGATATGTTAATTAACTGCATGTCACCATTCCACATGGAGCACATAGACATAAACCTCACACTGTACCGCAGACATGCGTCCATCTGTGACTTGTCTATTAAAAATAATGTCAGCAAAACCATAATACTGTGTTTCCCTGAAAATAAGACCTACCTGTAAAATTAGCCCTAGCAGGATGTCTGAGCACGTGCGCCATAGAGGCCCCACCCCGAAAATCAGCCCTAGTGCTGGGCGTGGCTGCGCAGCATCTGCACAACCCGTGCGTGTCGTCGCGGAGCGGGAAAGAACACGAGCAGCCCGTGACAGCTCTCATCCGCCCGTGACAGCTCTAGTGCTGACAGGAGAGATCGGGGCCAGTGGCTCTAAAGGAAACAGAGTCGCAAGACATTCAGGATGGGACTCGGGGTTTGGAGAGTGAGGATGATGTTCCAGAAGAAGACGACTTCACTAGATTTGAATAAATGTAGATGGTTGTACCGTACTTAAAAAAAAAATAACATATCCCCTGAGAATAAGTCGTAGGGTGTCTTCTTGAGGAAAAACAAATATAAGGGCCCTGTCTTATTTTCGGGGAAACACGGTAGAGAACACAAGATGCAGGAAGCGTGGCTGGCCCGCCCCACGTACCTGTCCTGGCCGCTTCAGCTGTCCTGACTCACTGGCACCACCTTGTTCAGCTTTCTGTGTCTGCGGCAGATCTTTTCTGCTGGGAGGATGCAGCAATATGTTAAAAGGAACTTGCCCAGCCTTCTAGCCAGCCCCTTCAGGCCCTGGCCGTCTTCCTCTTCCGAGAGAGAGGTCGCGCTCTCCTCGTGCGGCTTCCCGGGCCGGACAGAGCCGTCTCCACTTGTCTCTTCCCCAAGGCTGCTGCTCTGGGTGGACGGGGAGGCCTCGGGGCTGCGCTGGGGGGCTACGCTAACTTGGGGACTCCTCCACCTGCTTCGTAGAGAACGCGCAGACGCTGTGGCCTTTGGTGTCCCCTGCCCCTGGACCCAGACGTCCTCCATGAGTCCAGAAAGGGCGGGCCTCAACTTGGGGTCCACGGTGAGGATCTTCCGCAGGAGTGCCGTCAGCTCTCGAGAGAAGGAAGCCGGCGTCTCGTACCTTCCCTCGGTGATGGTCGTTTTCAGCTCCTCCCAGCTGCTGCCGTCGAATGGAATGCGCCCGGCCACCATGAAGTAGAGGAGGACGCCCAGGCTCCACACGTCCACCTCCGGGCCCCGGTAATCCTCCTCCAGGAACATCTCGGGCGGGCAGAAGCAGGGAGTCCCGCAGAAGGTGTACAGGTCTTCCTCGTCACTGAACGTCGCCGCGAAGCCGAAGTCGGCCAGCTTCACGTTCCCGTGCGCGTCCAGGAGGACGTTGGGGCTCTTGAGGTCGCGGTGCACGATGCGGTGCTCGTGGCAGTGCCCCACGGCGGCCAGCAGCTGGCGGAACAAGGGCCGGGCCTCCTCCTCGCCCAGGCCACGGCGCCGCGCCACGTGCCAGAAGAGGTCCCCGCCGCGGGCGTACTCCGTGACCAGCCAGATGAAGTGTTCGTCCTCGATGACGTCCAGAAGCTTCAGGATGTTCGGGTGCCGCAGGGCCCTCAGGGCCTCGGCCTCCAGGTTGCCGTTTTCCAGGCTGGGGAGGGTCTTCTTGGGTATCATCTTCAGGGCCACGTGGGTGCCCGTGGGAATGTGCTCGGCCAGCATCACCTTGCCGTAGGTGCCCGAGCCGATCGTCTTGAGGATGTTATACTTCTCCAGCTCCTCCATGGGTAAAGAGGAGGCCGAGGCCTCCGTGGTCCCCTCCATGGTAACGCTACGCGAACTGCGCTTGCGAACCAGTGACCACAAGCGCTGGACCAGCCAGGCGAAGGGCACCAACGGCACTCACCACCCCAACTACACGGACTACGCTGACGATGTTAATAGATAACGCTAAATAGAGTGACAATACTAATTACACGAACACTACAAAAGAACAACTCTAAGTATACTATCTTAATAAAAAGCAATATTAACTACGCCATACTAATGCTACTAACAGACAATACTAACGGTAATATGGTAACAACACTAACTACAGCATGGTAACAAAACTGACAAACTACTAACTATCCTACGCGAATACACCTAACAAACGATGCTAACTATACTAACTACACCAACAAAGCTCACTGACAAGGAAAAAGCAGTAGTGCTACAGGCCAAGTCCACAGGTCACCAAAAAAGCAGCTCCCTGGGCAATAATGACCGAAGTCCAAGGCCCAGCCAGGGCTTATATTGGTGTCAGGAATTTCATAACAATGGCTGTTTATGAGGTCAGAGCAAGAAATGGGCCACTCATGGCTGGGTATAACCTGCAGTGTTTTTTTTTTTTTTTTTTCCCATTTTTGGTCACAAGGACATGGTGACACCAATAACTGAAAGGGCAGTCAGGCAAGAAAATAAAGAAATAAAGGGCTGTCAAATTGAAAAGGAAGATGTAAAGTTATCAGTTTGCAAAAGACATGATCCCATATGTACAAAACACTTAAGATTCCACAAAAGAACTGTAAGTAAGAACTAAAGCAAATTTGGCGAAGTATCAGGCATATGCAATATCAAAGGATGCCAAATAAACAAAAGAATCTTGAAAAAGAACAAACTTGGCAGTCTTATACTTCCTGTTTTCAAAACTCCTTATAAGCTCCAGTAATCAAAACGGGGTGGCGCTGGCACGGACAGACTTATAGAGCAACGGAATAGAATGCTGAGGCCCAAAATAAACCTGCTCATGGATGGTTACATGATTTTTAACAAGGGGCCAGGACCATCCAGTGGGGACAGGAAAGTCTCTTAAGCAAATGGTGCTTGGAGAACTGAAAATCCACATGCAAGAGAATGAAGTTGGACCCTGATGACCCACACACAAAAATTAACTCACAGCAAATTGAAGATCTACATGTTAAGGGCCTAACTATAAAACTCCCAGAAGAAAATATAGGAGGAAAGCTTCAGGACAATGGGTTTGGCACTGATTTTTTGGGTATAGCACCAAAAGCATTGGCTATAAATGAAAAGTAGGTAAACTGGACTACGTCAAAATCTAAAATTTCTGTGGATCAAAGGAAATAGCAGAGACTTATGGAATGGGAGAAAATACCTGCAAATCATATACCTGATAAGTGGTTCTCATCTACAATATGTAGAGAACTCCTACATGTTGACAGTGATAAAACACGTAACCCAGTAAGCAGTGGGCAAAGGACTTGCATAGGTATTTCTGCAAAGCTGATATGCAAGTGGCCACATGCTCATGAAAGAGGCTCAGCGTCACTAGTCATGGGGGTAACGCAGTCAAACCACAACGGAAACCGCTTTCCAGTCCTTCCCGTGCTACTATCCAAACAACAACAGAAAACAATGTGGAGATGTGGACCTCTCATGCGCTGGTGGAGCGAATGTACAATAGAGTCGCTGCTGTTGAGAATAGTGTGGATCCTCAGAAAATTAAATAACCCTTATGTGATCCAGCGACCCCCCCCATGGATATATAACCAAAGATATTGGAAGCAGAATCTCCAAGAGGTATTTATCCACTCCCATTCATAGCAGTGTTATTCACAATAGCCAAAAAGTGGAAGCAACTCAAGTGTTCCCCAGTGATGAATGGATGAACCGAATGTGGCCGCTGCGTACGGTGGACTGCTGTTCAGCTTTACAGAGGAAGGAGACTTGACGCATGCTGCCAGGAGGATGAACCTGGAAGACATTGTGCGGAGTGAATGCGCCAGTCACAAAAGGTAAATACTGTCTAATTCCACTTATCTGAGATGCCCAGAGTAGTCAAATTCATGGGGACTGGAAGTAGAAGGGTGGGTGCCGGGGAGCATGGAAATTAGGGACTTATCGCTTATGGGGTACAGAGTTTCAGTTTAGGAGATGAGTTGTATACATAAACGGTGGTGATCGTTGTTCAATAATGTGAGTGTGTGTCATGCCACTAAACCGCGCATGGAAAAGTGCAAAGCTGAGAGGTTTTTTTGTTATGTGCATTTTATCAGAGTCAAAAGAAATAAGGTTTTAACATTTTAATGAAAACGTTGATGGAAAATAAAGGCAAGCATGTAAGGGAACGGTTAGTAGCGGTTTCAATTCATGGAACCACTTTGAGAAAGATATTTGGCAGTAGCAGTGTGCGCCCCATGGCCCAGGAGTGTCACTTTTAGGGATACACTCAGCAGAAACGCCTAAGTGTGTCCACAAAGAGGAAGGTGCACAGATGTTCTTAAGAGCCCCAGATGGGAAGGAGCCGAGGTGTGCATGGTAGCGTGGGTAAATCCATTGCTCTGTATTCACACGATGGCGTAATGTATAGAAATGTGGATAAAGGATGTACAATGTGTGACAAATGAAGACTATCATGAACTATGTTGAGCTGAAGAAGCCAGATGCAGAAGAATTTATCCTCAGTGATTCCCTTAATAGAAAGTGCAGCATATAAAGCAACACTGAGCTGTGCATGTAGCAGTCAGGGTAGTGGTTTCCTTGGGGCAGGGGCTACACAGCAGATGGGGCTCCAGGAGATTTTGGGGTGCCAATAATCTGTTTCTTGATCTAGGTACAGGATACAGGTTGTGTTCAATATGTGGGAAAAATTATTGTGAATTGTGTACCCATGTGAATTATAGTGAAGTTAAAATTTTTTAATTTAAAAGCATCAGATGACATTATGAAGCCCACGATGAAAGAGGGACGCTCAGCCTGTTGTGCCTTCCCCAGCAGAGGCAAGTTCCCGGCGACCGTGTGGTACTCTGTGTGCAGAGGCTGCCACTGGGGTCCCAGCAGCGCAGCGGTCCAGGGCTCCACCACACTCCTGCTGAGCGACACACAGGGCCGCGGCCACCTGCATGCCAGGATCGCCATCGCTGCCTACCTGCCCCTCAAGGTGAGCCAGGGCCCTGCCCGTCACCGCCCACCCCGCCCAGTCCTTCCCTGGTGGGAGTCACTCACGTGCTCTGACAAATCTGCGTGAAAACCCAATTGCTCAGAGTAGCTTTTGGCATGGCTCTGTGTCCCTGTGATTTTCTGGCTGAAAGCAGGAATTGGCGTAGAAGGAGCAGAGTGTCCCCCACGGGGGACAGAGGTCGCTGACATCCATGTGATCACGCGAGACAGCGCTTGGCAGGCTTGGCAGGGTGCCGACCTGCCAGGCCCTCCCGACCAAGGCAGACGGTGGGCTCCAAAGGCTTCGGAATGTTTCCAGCGGGGTCGGAACGCAGGAGCGCTGCTGGTCCTCTCCGGCGTTACCCTCCAGGGTCCCTACCGGTCCCTAGATTTGGGACAGTGGCCTTTGGTGTGTGGGAGTCTGGGCCCTCCCGGGACCTGGGTCCGGGCTGGATTCTGCCACTTGCCTGACGTCTGCGAGTCCCTCTTCCCGCCTGAGGAGGGAGGCGGCCCTGGCGTGCGCACGGGGACACGGCCCAGCCTCCACTCCGGCCTCCCGAGGCCGCCTCCAGGTCCGCTGCCGCGCAGCACTCTGCTCATTTCGTTTCTCTGGCCTCACGTTCCCGCCTGTGAAATGGGGCCAGCCAGCAGCTACCCCGTAGGGCTGTGCTGAGGACGAGCCGAGCTAATACATGGATGGGCTTGGAAAGCAGCCTGGGAGGGAGGGAGCGCTCAGCAAGGCTTAGTTGGTAAAACATGAATGGAAACAGCTGGGCCTGCCCCCGAGGGTGGCTGCGAAGGCGTCACTCAAGGGCTGCACACATGGGCTGGTGACCCACTCATCGCTGTGTTTGAACCCCGCCTCGTCCACCAGAGGCCCAGAGAGTAAGTTGGTGGGTGTTTCTGCTCCTGGAGGAGCCCCCCCCCCAGCCTGGGCCAGGCAGCCCTTGCACTTCCCTGCCACCAGGGTCAGCCTCGCAGACAGCGCTGTTCCCCGTGGTGTGTAATGTTTTTCATTGTCCCTCTCTCCTGTTAGAAGCAAGCTCAGTGGCCTTAGGATCTTCCCTCTCTGCCCCTCTAGCCCTGGGCATAGCACCTGCCCAGAGCAGACACCAACCCGGCGTGGTTGTGTTTAGAGTGAGCGAGTGAGGAAATGTGTCCAGGGTCACCCGGCCAGGGCTGACACCAAGGCCTGCTGGCCTCCAGAGCAAACACCCAACCCTTGCAGGCCCAGCCCTGCCCCTCCTGCTCCAGCCATCCGGTCACGCAGCACCTGCCGTGTTTCCCCGAAAATAAGACAGGGTCTTGTATTTATTGTTCCTCAAGAAGACACCCTAGGGTGTCTTATTTTCAGGATAAGTGTTATTTTTTTTTAAGTACGATACAGCAGTCTACATTTATTCAAATATAGTGAAGTTGTCGTCTTCTGGAACATCATCCTCACTCTCCAAACCCCGAATCCCATCCTGAATGTCTTGCGACTCTGTTTCCTTTAGAGCCATCGGCCCCGATCTCTCCTGTGGAGCACTAGAGCTGTCACGGGGCGGAGGAGAAGGGCTGCTCGTGTTCTTTCCCGCTCCGCGACGACACGCACGGGTTGTGCAGATGCTGCGCAGCCACGCCCGTCACTAGGGCTGATTTTTGGGGTGGGGCTTCTATGGCGCACATGCTCAGACATCCTGCTAGGGCTTATTTTATGGATAGGGCTTATTTCCGGGGAAACACTGTATCTATGAACACCTTCCTATGCCAGTCCCTGCTCGAGATGCAGCAGAACAGAAAACACAAAACCCTTGTCCCCATGACCTGACATTTAAGGGGAGAGAGAGAGAGAGCGAGAGCGAGAAAGAGAGTACAAACGACGCAAAGAAGTATTTCGTCTCTGCTGGCCATGGGGAAAGTGAAGCCTGAAGGGGTGATGGGGGTGGCAGTGTGGAATGAGGAGGTCGAGACGCCCTCCCTGAGCACAGTGCAGAGCAGGTGTGAGTGTTCTGAGAGCACAGTGGAGGTGACAGAAATCCCCAGGAGGGGATTTCTCAGAATGCCCAGGAGGCATTCTTGGTCCACCCTGCCACACCTCCCTAGAGGTGGAGCATTTTACCAGGAGCCTGGGGGTGGGCTGGGGAGGTTCTTCAGGGCCCTCCCTGGCTGCTGGGCTGGCGCAGCCAACACTTGTGCTCACTGTCGTGAGCTGGGGTGTAACGGTGAAGAAGTGATAGACGTGTCTTTTAGTGAGGTGGCTTCCTGATTGGACAAATGATAGAGAAAGATGAGTGTGGGTCTCATTTCTTTTAGTGTTTTTTTTTTTTTTTTACCTGTATGGATAGCAGTT